ACAGTGGGAAGAGACTTTCCATCCCTGCTCCTGTACGTCACTCGCCGTGAACTCCCTGGACTCACAGCAGACGCAGGGCGAGGGGCTGCCCCGGCTCGCAGGTGGAGACGCAGGCCCAGGGCGCCCGGACAGCTGCTCCGTTGTTTTTGCTGATGCCTCGTTCTCTGGCCAGCTCCCAGTGGGAGTTTTGCAGAGAGACAAAGCGAGGCTGGGGTGAGGGCCCAGGGGTGAGGGAGGACGGGAAAGGAAACTGGACAGAGGCAGAATGGGGGCAGGCACAGAGCCCCTGGCTGAGATGGGGGCCCCGAGTAGGGGCTGGGCTGCAGGACACACTTTAATTGCTGACAGAGGGTGAAGCACTGCAGGGCCCAGGGCTCCCCTGAACAGCCCCAGAGCTCTCCTCTGCTGGAAGGCCCAGATGCCCCATCCTTACAGGGGAAGAGTCCACCCCACCCCACCCCGGGGTACCTGGTGGGACCCTAAGCCTCAGTGGGTATGGGGAGTGGATGTGGGTAGGCCAGGGCCCTCCCCGTCGGAGCTGACGTACCCAGGCTCCTCTGCGGCCCGTGATGCAGATTATTTTTATCCTTGAAGGCTCCGGGCAGACGGAACCCAACCAGGCACTGGCATCCGGCTCTCCCAAATGCCACTCCATTGCTGTCATAGCTCACACCCCACCCGGCCCCCTCCCCTCCCCTGGTCCTAGTTCCCAGGAGCCCAGTGTGAGGACTGCCAGGCTCGACCTGAGACCAGCGCTGATGTGAGGAATGTCCAGGCTGCAGACAGGGCCCAGAGGCAGCTGGGGCAGGACAGGCCTTGGGAGGGCAGCTGGGGTGGGCCAGGCCTCGGGAAGACTGCCACTGTGGATGGTAAGTGTGGCTTTGGCACTGCCTGGCAGGCACCTGCCTTCCTGCCAGGGCCTGAGGCCGAAATGTGGACGCTCCTTCTAGGCTGGCTCTGACCCTGGCCGACGACAAGTAGGAACAGCGAGATACATTTGTGTTTTCCCCTAACAGGCTTGGCTCCCACTCCTGCAGCTACTCTGCTTCCTTCCAACTCATCTGGGGGATTTTTTCAACCCCCCCCCCCCATAAGCTGTTTTAACTCCAGTGAACACACATGCAACAACCACGAGAGGGATGGTTTCTTTTTTAAAAAATTGTAATAAGATGCCGAACTTTATTGTAAACTGTTTACAATGCGAGTACATCATCTTCCCTTTCATTTCAAAACTGTTTTGTGAACGGTGACCACCACCTAATGCCCCATGGGGATGGCAGCTTCGTAGCCCACAGTCCTGCTTATCATAGGCCTGGCTTCTATCAACCCCGTGTAGAGAAAAATCAAATTCAAAACAATCAAACCAACTACCCACCCACCCACAGCAAGTCAGACCAAAGTCCCTCACTGAAAGGAAAGGCCCCAAGGAACCTCTTCTAGAAGCTGCCTTCTCCTCGAGGTGGCTGCTCTGGCTGGCGGAGAGCTCCCAGCGCCGCCTGGCTCGGCCTGCTGCTGAAGGCCAGTAAACCGCAGTCCGGAGCACGGGGAAGGCCAGGCTGTCCGCTGGGTGCTGCTCCCTCCAGGGTCCTGGGACCTGTGACTCCCTGTTGCCAGGAAGGCCACCAGCATGCCCGAGAGCTAACCAAGGGGCCACAAACCTTCACCTTGCGTGTCTTCATGCAGAGAGGACCAAGAAGCCACTGCCACTCGGGATCTCACCAACATCCCCCTTCGCCACTGCTGACCACCGCCACCACCGACCTCCACTCGGACGCGACAGTTCTACCTTACTGGCTTAATTCCACCACCAAGACTCTTACCTGCGTCCTTGACTTGTGGGCGTCTACCATGGGCGGCTTGGCCAAGGCCTAGACTTGGACAAATCAGACTGAGAGGCCCCAGTATCTAGTCAGTGCCCCTCTTTCCTCAAGCACAGTGATGCCTGCTGTGGCTGGGTGGGGTGCTGCACCCAGTAAGGCACCTTGGGGCAGGTGGGGAGAAAACGCACCCTAGGGAGGGACCGTGTCTCGGGAAGTCCTGACTTCAGCCCTCTGCACCTGCTCTCGTGGGATGGTGTACCACAGAGAGCCTCACTGGCCACAGGAGGCTCGCCGAGGGGCTACGGGCTCGTGTGTGTACATGCACACGCATGCCCGCACGCGCCCATACGAGAGGAGGGTGAGGCCAAATACGTGAAGCCACTGTCCAAACCTACACACAGAGCCCCTCTGATGACGCTCTGGCAGACCTCCTGCCCAGTTAGCCAGTCACGCCGCTGCAGTTCAGAGGCTAGAGCCCTTGGAAAATCGGGGGTGGGGAGCCCCCACTCACTGGCTACCTCTTTGCCCTCCAAACCCACTCTCAGCAGAAACTGGAACGAGCCCTGAGACGTGATCATCTGGGGTCCATTTAACGCAGTTTCCATCTTTCACAGTTCACAGCTCCCCCACCCTCTGCCCCCGGTCCAGAAACATTAGGTGCTTAAGACAAAAAATGCAGCTCCAGTTGGAGCCCCAGGAAGACGGAGGGCACGGGCTGTTCACACCGGGGGAAATGGGGCAGAATCTGGTCAGTGATGCCCACGGAGGGCCCGTCCTGGTCTTTTCCGGTGCGACGTGGTGGAGCCTGGCTCCTGCTGCTCTTCCTCACTGGAGGACTGGCATGGAAAGACCGGGCTCACAGCCGGGGAAAGCAGTGGGAAGGGGACACAGAAGAGCAGGGGCTCACGGAGAGGGGCTGCAGTCACAGACCACCCGGCCTCTCCCTGCTCTGGCTGCAGGGCCCACGCTGGCAGTCAGCTCCCTGCCCCTTCCTCCCGGAGTGCGTCTGCTCTCCTGGGGCGGGTGGGCTGCGAAGGCTGCCCCAAGGCTTCCTGCAAGTCCGGGACGGGCAGGACACTGGGCTGTCTCACGTGGGCTCACAGGTGGCCGCTGGACTTTGCTGTCTCTAAACGTCCATGGCCACCTCTTGGCTTGGCAAACCACCAGGCAGCTCCTCCCTGCTGCAGGGAAAGTGCTGGGGGGCTTGGCCCACCCCACCATTGCTCTTCTGCAATCACCCCAGGGGCCTGTGGCCATGCTGAGGCACGGGTGGCACCCCCCAGGAGGGGACCCAGCCTAGAGGCACCTCATCTCTGCAGAGCTAGAGAATGAGCTCCATGGCCTCGATCTGCCCTGCCCCGGCCACTTGCAGCTTTGGAAGGTGTAGTTAGCATCGCCACCTCGATCAGGCAGACCGTCTCCAGACTGCTGTGCAGAGCGGGAGTCGACGGCCAGACGACAGGTACCAGGAGGCAGACAGGAGGTGCCTGGAGACAGGCGGGGCCGGCTCAGTGGGCGGCTGCAGTGCGCCTAAGGCCGAGCCCACCTTAAACTCAAGATCGGGGGCTCTGAAGAGTGGCCTGGTAGTCTGGATCCCGGACACAGAGACCTCTTAGACTCCTTTCTCAGTCAAGCTGCACCAAGAACTCTACTCTGCCGAAGAGAGACCCAGAGACAGCCTGGGTACAGCGTTACCGAACCACACGCATGGGGTGCACCGTCTGCCTCCAGCCCTGCCACAGGTGCTCGGGCCCAACCTTCCCAGGACCACAGGGGCCCGCCGAGTCCGGCCAGACCTGGCTTCCCTACCCATCAGGATCCCATGCCTCATCTTACTGTAGGACCTTTCCTAACGCTATTCCAAGTGAAGACTCTCCCAACTTCTCCCTCCCACCAGGTCACATCCCACGAAAGGCAAACAAACCCACTTCTTTGGGGATTAAAAAGAGTTTTTAAATACAACAGTATGAAAATATAACTTAAAAATATAAAAGTCAAACAGCAAAAGGAAGACTTAAAAAATCTCTGTTTTTGCCCATCGGTCCCATAGGTACGTGGTAGGAAATGAACACATACTCGAAAACAGGAACACTGGCACAGCTCCTAAAACCGGCCTAGAATCAATAGTTACCAAAGCCATTTCCCGTAAGAAAAGTCCCGGTTCCTCCTTGGTCAACGAGGACCTTCTGTCCCCAGTGGGCCGCGAGTGCGCACTGCCACACCCCAGCGAAGGCCCCCCAGTCTGAGCTACCCTCCACCGTGCTACCCGTCAGACACAAGATGGGCTTCTGCGTCCCTCACGGCACTGCTCGTGACAACGAGCGACAGACAAAGCTCCCGGCTTGCATATTTGGTCAGTGTTTGTAGTGCAACTGAGCGGGGACCTCCGGCTGCCGTGGCCCCCTCGGCGCGGGCTCCTCTTCCCTCTGCTAAGTCACTGTAGTCTGGGAGGGATAGAGCGGGCAGAGACAGCAAGAGGAGTGGAGGTAGAAGAGGAGGGCAGAGGGGGAGGACGGTGCCACGCAGTGGCCACCTGCCGACGCTGGGCCCCGAGCCTGGCCCCCGGTGTGCGGACGTGTCATACAGGCAGCCCGAAGCGGTGCTTCTTCTTCTTGGCAGGCTTGAGGGGGGTCAATCTGCGGAGGTCCTCCTCCACGTCGGACTCCTCCATCTCGTCGTCGGCCGAGATCAGGATCTGCAGCGGTGGAGGGGCCTGGCCTGAGTCACCGCCAGCACCGTCTGCTTGGCTTGTCCCAGGACCCCAAGCCCCTCCAGGAGGCCTCGAGTCTCACAGGTCTTTGGAAAAGGGTGGTGGGGAGACCTCCCCTTCACACAGCGAGACCTGCTGGCCCGCCAGACGGCACACACTCCCAGAACACTCAGCTCTCGAACCCAGCGCTGCCCTGACAGGGCCCCTTTCTCTGCTAGAGCACCCTACCTCTCCATCCAATCTCTAGCCAGAACCGAGACCCATCAGGGCCAACCTAGCAGGCACCTGCAGCCTAATGTCGCCCTGGCACTAGCTCAGTCTGGATTAACACACGGAGTCCAGCTCCCAGAAGCTGCCTTAGGACGGCAGAAACTGTGAGGCCTCGCTCTAAAGGCAAAGAAAACACCCGCAGGGCACACGAGGCAGGAGCGTCACAGTGTAGCTTCGTACCAACGCTGGTATTGTGGACACGAACAGGGGTACTTTGCCTTCCGACTGCGGGAATGACTCAGCCATGTGGCTGGGCACCCAGGACTGGCATGCACACTCCCAGCCACCCGCTCTTGTGCCTCGGCCCCAAGCCCAGGGGATGATAGGCCCACCCTAGGCTAGGATGGAGAAGCCCACGCCCACCTGGGCCAAAACACAGACTTCTGTCCTGGTGTCGGGACCTCTTGTCACCCCGCCCTTGACCGTTTCCTGGCAGGGCTTCCTGTCTCCAGTCTCAGACCCTGGACCGTCCACATTCACTGGCTCCCTATTGCCCAGACAAGCACGTCCCAGTCCCTCAGCCTGATCACAAAGCACTTGGGCCCTCTCTGACTCCACCCAGACCTCGTGCTCATCGTTCCGTCCTGAAGTCCGGAATACATGCTGCTCTGGCCCACAGCGAACTTCACCTTGTTATCCAGACGCCAGACGATGTAGCCATGAACACTCACAAGCTGTGCTCCCTGCTCACCAAGTCCACATGCATGACCGGCCCTGTGCCGGGTCCTAGAGCCACACGCCTGGAGAAGATACAGGCCTGCCCTCTGCCCTCTGCCCCTGCTTACTGTCCACACTCCCTCGGGACTGTCCCAGGGTCCTCGAGGTTTTGCTCACACCTCGATCTCAGAACACGTTACAAATGCTACACCGCGCTGGTGATGCAGCTGCTGCTGCCTCATCTACAGGAGTTTAGGCCCCTCCGGGGAAGACGTGAGGCTCCGCCAGCCCTGTAGCGCCCACCTGCAGCTCTGTGCAGAGCACCCTGGGGTGGCCTCGCCCCGTAGTGGCCTCACACCGCAGTGTGCAGAGGTGGAGTGAGTGCTGCGGGGCTGCCAGGACACACGTGCCCGCCTCCACGACCACTGCGTAAAGTCCAAGCCTTCAGACCTTAGAAGAACAGAACAGACGAGGCTCCTGCAAGCACGGGCTACCCCTGCGTTTTGCGTTTCTAGCTGGCTTGGCCACGGCTTCCCTTGCCTGTCAATGCTGGGCTTAAGGCCAACCATCAGGCCTGTGAGGGCCCCTGCCAGCCTCCCTGCAACAGGTGGTTCCTCACTTGCTTGTCTTCCTCCACTGGCAGAGGGGCCATGGGAGACAAGCACCCCACAGGCTCGCCCACTGCCCTGGGAAGGCCCACAGGCTGGGGGACGGGTCTGGCTGCGACCCAGGCTGCTTCCGCTGAGAACTCCCTCCCGACGCAGGCGGCTCCCGCTGAAAACTCCCTCCCCCCCCCCCAACTTCGGACTCAGCAAACAGGAGGCAGAGGGCCACGGACCGCAGGGTGCTGGTTAGGGCGCTGGCTCAGGCCCCCAGAGAGCCGAGAGGCCTACCTCGGACTCGGACTCGTCGTGGGACGCCGCCCTGCGGTAGCGGACCTTGCTCCCATTCCTTGAGTCCTGGTTGGCTCCCCGCTCCTCTAGCTTGGCTTTCGTCTTCCCTTTTCTCATGAGGAAATTGTCCACGACCCAGAACATCAGCGCCTGTGGGGAGGGAAGGTACAGATTACTCCGGGGTGGGTGGCTTTCTAAGGCAGAGCAGAGCAGCCCCTAAGCCCCATTTCCCGTTACACATGCAGGACTAGGGCAAAAAGTACTGCACCCTGTCCTCTCCTGTCTCCCAGGAGCTTAGAAAACAGCCAATGTCCACTTCTTTGGCTCAGTCTCCTCATCAGAGTGGGCAGGAAAAGCCCAGCCCTGGACACCCTATGGGGCTTTGCTGTAATTGCTGGGATAGCCCGCCCTGGCCTGGAACCCAGGTCTCTGGACACCTGTGTTGGGCCTCTGCCCACAGATTCCATGGCATTGGCGAGCTCCATGTCACATTTGCCCCGGGCCCCTCTGCCAGCTTCTCACAACTTCCTAACTTGCAAGTCCGTTTCTTGCCAAGACCCGTGGCCAGGAGTAAGTGGCCGGGGGGTGGTGGTACAATGACACAATCCTGATCTAGAAGCGGCTGCCACACGTGGGTGGGACTCCTTGGAGAAGCGGGCCTGGAAGGCATGGTGTAGACCAGCCATTCCCAGGTCTGGGGTGGGCTGGAGGGGGAGACGGCACAGGTCACCCAGGGGCCCTGAGGTATGTTTCCCGTCAGACTGACAGCTCTGAGCAGGAACCCTGGAAGGCGGGCCACAAACAGGCAAAAGGGCAACAGCGTCGGGCCAGCCATGGCTTGGTGGTTAAGGCACTGGCTGCACTTGGCCAACCCCGTGCTTACAGTCCCAGACCTGGTGGCTTGAGAGACGCTGGGAGCATCGTGTGTGTGCCCAAAGTCCCAAGGAGAGGGCGAGATGGAGAAGGGATTGTGGTGTGACTATCCCTTTTGGGGGGTGCTTTTCACTTTCTCTGTCTCTGCCTCCTCTCTCCTGAGTGCACGGACCCTCTAAGAATAAATAAATAAATAAATGTAACATGGCACTGACGTTGACGAAGAAGGGGACAATCAGCATGACGATGGCCAGCTTCAGGTCCGGGTTTTCTATGG